AACAATATATATTCAATACACCTATTCATCAGCAAACCCACGAAGCAACAGTAGAGACTCAGAATCGCCACAGAACCGGAAATTTTTCTTCATGCCAAAGCTGCAGCCTCAGTTGGAACGGGCAGCGTTCGACGGCGGATCAGATCGGGAAATCGATCGGATTATCTCTTCGAAGAGCTTCTCGTCGCAGGGGATCGTTAACGGCCCGTTGTTGGTGAAACCGTACTCTTCTTCGGTTTTCGCGAGCAGGTACCTGAATGTTGGGTGGATGAGGTGCGATGTCGGAATGACGACTCTCCTGTGGCTGGGCCCCACAGCGATGGTGAAGTGTCCATCATTGACGTGGATTAGGCGCGTCTTGGTTCGCCACCGCCTTAGAGTTTGGCGGACACAGACAATGCAGCGGGTTTTCCAGCTCTCTTCCGAGCAAACAGACATTTTTCTCCAGAAAGTGGGAAAGTGTAATTTATATGCAGTCAATGGAAAACCAAAATTTTCAAGGAATAAACTCACGTACTTAGGTATTTTAATAGTTATTTTTTCATTAAAAATAAAAAATTTTAAATTTAAATCACACAACAGGTAAATAATATAAAATAAATAATAAAAAATAATTATTTTTTTATTATGCAAATAATATAAAAAATATATATACATATTTAATTGGGAAGAAATAGAGGAAAAGGAGAGGAGAGGAGAGGAGAAAAATCATTTATTTGACTACCAAAAATAATTAGATAGGAGGGTGGGAAGAATCTTCATTTAAGAGAGTTGACAAAACTTTAAAAAAAGGTACAAACTATCACAACCTTATTAAACAGGGATTCTAACTTTTTGGTTTCCCATACAATGCTTCAAATTTTCAAAAGTTATTATTCAAGTATACAAACTATGTGGTTTTACTAGGTAAGGACTAAGTAGAAATCAATGTTATGCAAATAAGCATCGAGGGCCCATTTTCTTGCCAAGTCAGTATAAATTGTGGGGCTCATAGAGCATGAGCAACGTAAGCTCTAAATAATGTTTTTTTTTTTTTGAACAATATTATCATAGAATGGGTTAGAACCCGTCCAAAAAAAAAAAGAAAGTACATCTTAAGGTGATCAAAAGTCACTTAAAAAATTAAATGTAGATAATGTTTTTTTTTTTAAATACAACTGAAATTGTATTGCATTTATTAGAGTCTGAAATAAAAGAACGGAATTCACTACACCAAACTCACTCTTCCTTTTTTTTTCTTTTTTTTTTTACGCAAAAACAACCGTTTTTGCCACAAAAGGGGCAAAAAATTTTGTCCGCTTGACATCAAGCGCGCGCAAGCATTACATTAATGCTTGCACATCCCACCCTCCAGCCGTTTCATTAAATCCAATGACTTGATGTTTTTATTTTTTAAAATTTTTTTAATTTAATTGTTTTGTTTCAAATAAAATAATATTATTATAATTTCTGAACAAACTTTATTGAGGTGCACCTATCAAAGAATTGATATTTTATTAGATGTTTTATTTTATGAGTTAATATATATATATATGTGTGAGCACTGGCCCTCGAGGCCTAGTGACATAACCACGGTGCATTTTTTCTCTCTCGGCAGGGTTCAAAACTTGCTATTGCAAAATATGTTCAAAAAATATATATATATGAACTTATATAAAATATTATTAATTGTGATGACATGACACCAAAATAAAAATTTTCATTGTTCCCCCTTCTATATGCTCTTATTATCTAACTAAGCATCGAGGGCCTGTTTTCTTGCCAAGTCAACATAAATTGAGGGGCCTGTAAACTGATTTCAGATGTTACAGCATTAATATCCTGTTAATCTTTTTTTTGAAAATAGGTAATGGAATATCCTCTTAATCTTTCTCTAGTAATGAAGGTTGAAACAAATTTTTATGTTTCCCAGAATCTTTCAGCAAGATATTTCTAGAGAGATTCAGATGCTGAATAACTCAAGCATTTGCAGCATTCTCCTACCCAAGATTCAAAAAGATTCAGCATTTTCCCTCAAATTTCTCGACCCAACTGTGACCACAGACAGATCTTAGCATCATCACTTAGGCCTAATCCAGCATTCCAATAGACTGAAGCTTAGTTATTTCTTCTCCCTTAATAAATAGTTCAAAACTGACCAAGAAAAGCCACACGAACATCCCATGATAATAGAAGAAATAATGAATCAAAACAGAACCAAATGAAACATACATAACCTGAGTAATGAAATATATAAAGCAAAAGCAGATAGTAATAAGAGTACAACTTGATGCTAATGGTGAATAAGATAGTCACTTATTGTAAAAAGCTTAAACTGTAATGAGTCCAATAGTCGGTGCCTAGGTATAACATGCACTAAGCTAGAAACAACATTCCAGAGGTACAACAAACGGGTAATAAACTACAAACAAAATATCGGAAGCAGATGGGGTTGAAGGTCGCAAATACTGGATCTCAGCTCCACGAAGCAGAACCATTTACCTCAATTCATGCTGTCTAGTGAAGGCTAAATTTACTGAGCCACAATGTTCACCAGCCAGTTGGACTTAATGTTTGTTATTATCAAATCTTGCTGCTTTCAGCTCTGCAACCATTCTCTCAAGCCTGCTAATTCGAGCTTCAAGTGATAATCCCAGTATATCAATTGCAGAGCTACTACCCTCCCTGTGGCCATTGATGCTTAGCAGTTGGCGAGCTGGGCTTTCTGCATTGCCATCATGTTTGTCCTCCACAGCTTTCTTTGATCCAGCCCGCAAAGCTTCATCCTGCACCGTCAGCAGTTCTCTTTGATCCTCAAGGACAATGTCCTGAGCTCTCTTAGATCCATTCAGCACAGCTTCATTCTCTATAACCTTTTGTGCCAATAATGCTAATGGCTCTAAATAATTAACACCCCCATTATCTGCAACTGTTGATGAGAGACTTTGAGAATGACCTGGAGACGTTTGACTCACTTTGTCTCTAGTTTTGGCACGGCCCCGCTTCTTACAAGATCTTAACATGTCTGCAATTGTCAGGTTATGATCCTCTGGAGAATCCTTTGCTCCCTTCCCATCAATAGGAACAGATGAATTGCTACCCTTATTATGTTTCTGTAGCAGTCTCTTTGAACTCCTCAAAGGTAAATCCTGGGAACCTGCTGATTCCTTTGAGCCTTTCTGATTCACTTCTGATCTTTTTGAACGCTTTGGATGTAAAGCAGGAGAAGCATACTCACCATTGCCTTCTTTCTTTCTTTTCACAGTTTGAGCTGATTCTTTTGAACCTCCCAAAGGAAAACCAGGAAAAGCAGATTCCTTCTCAACTCTCTTCTTTTCTTTCAAATTATCTACCAACTTCTTCGAAACTTCTCCATGAGAACCAGGAAATGCAGTGTCATTATTACCACCAACCTCATTTTCTTTCAAAATCTGTTCCATGCTTTTTGATTTAAGAGAAAAGTTGGAGTCAGCAGGACTGGCACCCTTTTTATTTCTTTTTGCACCTTGAGGTGCATCCTTTTCTGTCTTTCCTTCAGAGACAGCAGGCACCATTCTTGATCTATTCTGATGAAGACCAGTACAGGTAGGAGTATCACCCTCCTTTTGTTTTGAAGTCAGTGGTGACTTCTTAGAGCCCTTCAGACCTCTTTTGCGTCTCCCAACACTCTTCTCTGCATTCTTCAACCCCTCCAGTGACTGCTTCCACCACTCAGAGTACCGGCTAGTAACACCTGCTTTGAAAAACCGAGATGGAATATACAGTTTCCCATTACTGATTGGTTCACTGTATTTGCTCCAGGCAATTTCCTGAGTCTCAATGGATCGAGCAACATGATCAGGTATATCTTGGTCCATCCCAAACTGCATTGCAACTCGGTGTGGAAGGTACTGTTCTAAACAGTCAAGTCCCACTAGCTCACTAGCCCTCAAGAATCTAGCATAGGACTCCAGCTCTTTGTCCATACGAGCATTGACTGACATCCAAGCTTCTTTGTCTCTATAAAACTTGGGGGATTTCCAATTTTCAATCTGTGAGGCATATGGGCGCCATTCGAAACTCCCCCCAGCTGAGTCTAGAGCCAACCCCACGTTCTCAATCTTGCAATTGACGTCATGCCACCGAGCCAATCTAAACTGACCAGTTTCTATTGAATTAGGGTTTGGCCTTACGTCTACAAATCTCTCCCAAATCCAAGATTGGACTAATTGAAACGGTGACCAAAGGGTAAGAGTAAAGACCTCTTCTTTACCTAATTTAGCTGAGGCACCAATTGCATCTTTCAACAAGCACAAATCTCTATAAATGCTAGCAAGAACAGCAGGGGCTAAGGCAATTCTAGTTCCTCGTGATAAATGGATTGCAATAGGGAACACATGCTCCCTAATGGTTTCATGAGCATTGGTGAAAACATACCTTGAGAGCCAAAACACAAGAAATGCTTCGTGCTCATATTCGCTCCCATTATCCATAAACATCTTCATCCACAACCGGGGGCACGCCTTCTTCGCCTTGCTCCGCACAATTTCGATTCTCGAGTTCTTCAAACTCTCTTCTACCTCTTTCAATTTGGGACTTTCAAGGGGCAGAAAAACAGGGGACCCCAAAACCGAGTAACCCCCCAAAATCATCACATCCTCGAGGGTAATAGTGGTTTCCCCCCAAGGAAAGACGAAACTTTTGGTGTCACAACACCATTTCTCCGCAACCCCAAGAATAAAATCCGTATTCTTCTTGATTTGATAGGTCGAGCTCCAGATTGCTTCGTGAATACCGGCTTTCTTCCATGTGGGTTCATGTAAAGCAGCCATCTTTTCGACCCACGCAGTCCAGCCCGCCGGCCTGGATCTCCACCCATGAAAACTAACACTCAAGGGCAAATTTTGAGGCTTGAGGACGGATTTCACAGAGGACACACAGCTCAAAGGAAACTCCGGGAGAGGTGTGTGACCGGAACCGACGGTGGGTTTGAGGAAGTGAGCTGTTCTAGAAGTAGGGTTTTCACCTGTGGGTGAGACCATGAGCTCTTCTCTTACCTCGACTAGGGTTTTTTCTGGCTCCTCCATTGATAAATCTGGGGGGAGAATCTATCAGAAAGAAAGAAGAAATTCTGTTTGAATTTTGAAAGATTTGCGAGTTATTGGATCCTGAATTTCCCCGAAGCTTAATTAGTGGCATGAGACGTTTGTTCCCTTCCGAAGAGTGGTAATTTTGGAAAATAGCTTATTCTCTTCATGGGTAGTTTGGTCATAGCACCGCCGTGTCCGAAACTGAAAGCTAGGCTATCTAAGAGCAACCACAATGTGCACCGTTTTAAATGCATTTTCTATTTTTTTTAATAATAATATTATTTTAATATAAATTACACAATAAAATATGATTTATTTTTATTTTTTAACTTCTTATATATATTTTTTATTAAGATAAGTGGTTCAAAAGGAAGGGATGGGAATCGAGTCAATCGACCTCTTATTATGATAAAAAAGTTTACGTTAAAATGTTGGATCACTTGACTGAACAACTCTTTTTAATTTATTATACTTTTATATTATATAATTTAACTTGAATTTATTTGCGACATCAAAAGGTTTGACCCAATTTCTTTATGTTTTCGATTAGTTACTCCATTATAATCCCTAGAACTTGTATCCCACTCATTAATCACAAAGAAAAATAACAAATCAACCAAGTTTTTTTAAGAGAAGTGTTTCATATTTTTTAAAAAAATGATAATTGAATTAAAAACGCAACATAAAATTCATATAATCTGCTTTATATTTCAAGTATAAATTTCGAGAAATCTAAAATAGGATTTTTATTTTATTATATAAGGAATATAAATATAGAATTCTTGAGATAAAAAGTCATCCTTATCTAGAAAATCATTTTGAGGTAAATTATATAAATGTGATCAATGGGTATTAGTTTTTATTAATTATAAAAACGTTAAGTACAAAAATTTTTAAATTAAATCATTTAAATAAAGTATTTTTGCTTTAAATTTTAAAATATTTTAGTTTTTATTAATAAGACTTTATTAAAACAATATAATTTTATAATTTTTTATAATTTTTTATAATTTTTTTAATATCAACTAGTACCCACTTTTTAAATTATAGATTATTAAGTAATGTGATGTTTTATTTGAAAGATCTGTGCCAGATTCTACAGAAAAAAATTTGGCCTAATTGTGCATCACCCCTCTAGTATTTTTGAGTTGAAATAAATTTAAAAAATTTTCAAGCAAATTTTCATTTCAAATTTTTATTTTAAAGAAATTAATTCAAATTTAACAATTAATGTTAGACTCAATTAGATTATTACTCTTGAAATTTAATGAAAAATTAATGACAATCATTAAATTTATATTAATATCTTCAAAATAAAAGTTTAAGGCGATGATTTATTTTAACTCTTTTTTATGATTCTAATTTACTTTAACTCAAAAATATTAATGAACAATTTACACCTTTTACCTAAAAATTTTCAAAGAAATTCAAAATAGGAAGTTGGCTTCTTATTTTAATGATTTGTGCTGGATTCTACACAAAAAGAAATTCAAAGTAGATTTAAAAAAAAAAAATCTTTAGTGTATTAGAAATATAAACCAATAATTCTAAAGGCGTGATGTATCCTTGTCTCTCAATGACTTTTTTTCTTTTCTTTTTCTTGCCTCCTTGTCTCTCAATGATTTTTTTTTTCTTTTTTTGCTAATTGTCACGCATGAAAAATGATAATTTGTTTAGCAATGTGAGGAGTTATTTGAATAATATGTGTTGCAAACTCCAAACCCCAAACTAAATTAATAA